ATCCCACTGCGCCTGTCCCTTTGAAATGAACAAGGCCCAAGTGCAGCTCTCGTACATTTCAGAGGGAAGGAGCCGCAGTCAGACTGGCATGAGTGGGACGGGGGTTTGCAATCCCACTGCGCCTGTCCCTTTGAAATGAACAAGGCCCAAGTGCAGCTCTCGTACATTTCAGAGGGAAGGAGCCGCAGTCAGACTGGCATGAGTGGGACTATTTCAATCCCAGCTTGCGCCATTTCCCCACTGCCCCCTGCCTTCCCTGCCCCTGCGGAGACAGTGCTGGGGGGAACTGGGCTCCCCGAGCACCAGCTCATGCTCCCCCCCCTGCTGCCTTTCTCTGATAGAGGCGGGGGGGGGGGAACATTTGCATATCGGGTAGCTGACAAGTCGCTTACCCCCCTCCCAGTAACACCTGCTCCTTCTGCACTTCCTTCCCCTGCCTCCCCGGAGGCAAAGCCCTTGCGAGTTACAGGCACTGCCTGTCCTTGAGCCATGGCCACGCAAGCCCCACTCGTGTTCGACAGCCCGTCCCTGTCGCCTGGCGGGTCGCAGGCTGAAGCAGGTGGAATCCTGGCCCCGGCTGCAGTACCCACACTTTCTGATGCAGGTTGAGCCTCCCAAATCCAGGGCTCTCTGGCCCCATAACATGTGTGTCCGGAAGGGCTACAGACGTTGCTGGACAGAGAGGCCCGGCGGCGAGGAGCATGAGCCAGCCGGGAGCCCTGCGGGTGTTGGGGAGCCCTGGCTAGGCCGGAAGGGGCTGGCCCTGCTGTGGGTGGGGAGTCCAGCCCTGGGGAGCCCCAGCCGGGAACCCCAGAGGGAGCAGGGTCAACGGACCCCAGGGGAATCCCCATGGCAACGGGGCCAACGACACCCAGGGCAATCGCAGGCAGGAGTGGGGCCAGCGGAGGCCTTGGGGAATCCCCAGTCCTGGCTGGGAACCCCGGAGGGAGCAGGGCTGGCAGCACCCAGGCACCCCAGGGACCCTGGAGGCAGCGGGGCCAGCGGCAGAGGGTTCCAGGCCAAGGCTAACCCTGGGCGTTGTGGCAGGGGGCACAGCCCAGAGAGGAGCCTTGACCTCTCCAGGTTCAGGATCACTCAGGTCCCAAGGGTGCGAGACCAGGGAAGCCCAACCTGCATTAAGCAAATCTAAAGGGAGCAAACCAAGTTGCAAGGTCTGAAGGAAACCGTGACGAAAGCACAGAGATGGCGTGCGGAGCGAGTGGGCGTCGGGAGGGGAATCTGCGATAGGGCTGCGAGGGTTGCCAGATGGCTTCAGAGAAATACCAAACAACAACAACAAAAACCAAGCCAGGAAAAAAAGGACCCTTTAAAAGCCGCGTGGTGAGGCTGCCTCCATAATGAGCCAGACAGCCTGGGATCTTTGCCTCCAATCAGAAAGTATTGGACATTTCAGGACATTTTCGGGGTCTGTTATTTTCTGAATTTTTTTACCGTCCAGGAGGTGAAAATACCAGACTGTCTTCTTCAATACCGGACACCTGGCAACCCGAAGGGCTGCTGGGGACCCTCTTCTGCACACTGGTCAAATGAGCTGCAAAAGGCCCGTTTGTCCGTCGTAGCAACAATAAAATAATTCTGCTACGGCGCTAGTCACTTGCGAAGCACCATGGTGTGTGCAGTGACGAGTAGCGCAATGCCAGGCACTGGCGCCGCACCATGCCTCTGCCTGGCTGCATTCGGACTCGCTACAAACACGACACAGGAGACCCCCTTTTCTTGCTCCTCTGTCTTTAGATTTGCCACCATCATGCATGTCACATGAGGGTAGAAATGTTTTCCCTTAAAGACACATTCCTATTATGATTCACTCATTAATCAGAGGAGGATCAGTGTGCAGAGCCTTGTGCACACAGCTGGCGAGAGGTGCAAGATTAGCAGAACACTATCAACATAAACATCACTTACAATTTGTGCTTATTTCACTTTATTTTACAAGTGATTCCTAAGATTGCCCAGAAAAAATAAACCGAGGCGTTTCAAAGTGTTTTCTAGAGGCATTGACAGTGTTTTGTACTTTGTTTCTTTCATTATTTCCTCTGCAGAATCCTCTTCCTCTTTTGTTTGTGTGGACCAAGGACATTTTTTACAACGTACGAAGATGTGATTATAAAGCCACCTGGACTGACATGTATAGTACCTGAAACAGCTTTAATGCCTTTTAAAACAACCCGATTACATATAAGATTACAGTATCCCTTCAATTTTTTGGACGGGCTGAGTTTAAAAATATAAATATCATAATGCTCGTCTCTCTAAAACACAGAACAAAACATTGCCAGCGAGCACTTCTGAACAACCCAGTAACGATGAAACAGGATAAAAAGGCCAGCCATTTGTGGCTATCACATACAATCCAGCACTCACGTGCATGCCCACCATAAATAACTAGCATGCATAGACCAATGGTTATAAAAACCCCTCTGCAGCAAACTAGTATCTGCACATTGCAGGAATGTGATGAGAATTCAGTCTGAATTTCCAAGGGGCTTCACTGCGCAGACACAACCAAGAAGAAATATTTGAAAAAGTAGAGGTGTTCTAGAACCAAGGTGGAAACCACTTTCCTTGACTATAGTGTGCCACATACACTGCACTGAAAGATTTTCAAACAAAACCCCAATCGTCAGCATAGGGTTTCTTTCTCTCCTGTGCCATGCCATATTCATGCAGCAGTCAGAATTCCTTGCTTCTTACTGACTGTGACTAGCTTCACGTCCAAACATCATCTCATTGCAGGAGACAAAGAAATCTCACTCTCATTTAGCGGTTTCTCTTTCTAGGGGATGTTTAAACTGTTATTACCTTTGTGTTGCTGAACCATTAGACAGAAAAAAATCAACTCCCAGCTCTCACTAGCTACTCTGCATTTGGTGATATTCCCATCACTTTCAGACAAATCCAGAGAAAGTTACAGGTTGCATCCCAGAGGCAATGAAAGCCGCAGCTGGACAGATCGCTATAGAAGAAAACACGGGAAGAGAGAAATCACGGTTCACCTTACCTGAAGAAGCCAGTAGCACCTTCGGTGGAAAGTGGGGATGATGGACGAATGGACGTAACAGCCGTATAGGCACTGGGAGAAAAAGGAGACAGAGTATTACCGAAGGAAATCACTGCTGAGACAGTAACCGAAGGGTAGAAGAAAGGTAACCCTGCTCCAGGGACTGGCCTGGTATCTATGGCACATGATATGCTGGGTTAGGTTGGTAATTACTAAAATTAATACCCTGTATGGACCTTGCTGGTAAAACAGAAGACCAGGCCAAATTACACCTACACTTGAGAATACTACTTCATAAACATTTGCACAGGTTTAAAGCATTAATAAACTAGATTTTCCCTGACTTACACTTTGCAAACCTATGGCGCAGATTTTTTAGATGATTTCAAGTAGAAACAACAAACATAAGATGGAAGGCAACTAGGAAGGCAGTGTGGCATAGTGGATAGTGCACTGGACCAGGATTCAGCATGCACAGGTTCTCTTTCTGGTTCTGCTACTGGCCTGCTGGCAAGTGGCTCCCCCCCTCCCCCCATGACTCAGTTTCCCTCTCCATAAAATGAGGATGACATGAAGGCAAACAGCTGATGCCAACTGCTCTGTAAAAAGCTTGTGCTGCATCTGCCTGTGCTGACTGACTCACAGAAAAGTTATTTGTGCCTCTTCCTCAGAAGAACCAAATTCAGCCAAAATATAGAGAACAAGCAATTGTTAAAATAATTCCAGTCAGGAACCCTTCAGAGATGTACACATGTTACCGGCTATGTTGTGGAAACCAAAAGCCTTGATTTTCTAAATCAGCATTACAAAGTTGGGGCAACTGCCTTCAAAACAACTTACCAAGCTACGTAGCTTCCCCTAATAACCGCTTACATGATAAGCCACTATATTACTCAAAGCTCAATCATCTAGATAAGGTCAGAGCAAATAACACTGCACTGTATGACTGTGACTCCAGGCATGCAACAAAGAAGCGGGTTTGGTCCATATTTTTCCATCTTTTGATTCAATATTTTGAAGGCATCCCACAGGTACAATTCAGCGAGTTTGGCTTTATAAACCATTCACAATGCATTATTTTACACATAAAATGCCCAAATGACATTTTGTTAGTGAAGTTGATTGGAACCCTACTTGTATGATTATCTGAAAAGAACAGGAATCACTGTGGCGAAGAGGATTTTGGCTGCAAGAAAATCCGATTTCCAATGCTAGAACTTTGGACACTGCTGTCAGTTTTGAGCTAAACCCAGTCCAGGTACAAACCGACTCACCAACCAAAGCTGAATTAATATCAAAGACCTCTGTACGACGCCTATCCAAAATGTATTTATCAAGAAACTTCCCTGGTTTCCTTGTCTTTTAGTGGCTGGAGAGAGAACGATATTACAACCCCTCCTCCTGGAGAACATTCTTCTGACAATTTGCCTTAAATGTTAAATTGCAACCACCTACAACCTATTTGCAGCTTTCACCAGCTGTTTTCCCTGGATTGGTCACGTAACTTTCTCAGGCCAGGTCTACACTGACGGGGGTGCGGGGGAGAGTTGGAGTTGAGGTACCTTAAGTGGAGCTTGGTGCTGTCTGCACAGCAGGAGGTTAATGGGTGAAATGTTCCCATCAACTTCCCTTCTTCCTCCTGACAGCGAGGAATTCCAGCCCTGATGGGGGTGCCCTCGGTCTTTGATTTAGCACAGGCATGTCCAAAGTCTGGCCCGCGGGCCAATTGCGGCCCATGTTCTGGTTTAATATGGCCCCCCAGGTAATTTGGCAATATCTATCTTTTATGGCCCCCAACGAATCCATATGTATTGAAATGAATACATTGTAAAAATCTCAGTTAATGTCAGTTGGTCTAAATCAGTTATAATTATATTTGGACACAACATGTATACTTGGTGTTATGTTCCTGTTCATATTTTTTGAACTTAAAAGTTGACAGACAACCTTTATTACCAATAATATGTAATGTACTTTACAATGTTCCTGACATATATTTCAGCTTCCTGGATTTTTTTTTCATCTGGCCTTCAGATATGAAAGGCAGAGTGATTTAACACCTGTTTAGATTTGTCATCCATGTGACGAAATGAAAAGTATGCCGTTTGCAATAAACTTTGCATAAAATAGTTAATTTGCATTTAATTTTAATGGTTCAAAGAATGTCAGGCAAAATGGTCGGCCCTCACACATGTTCACTTCATCAAACCTGGCCCTCGTTGAAAAAACAGGTCTTTACTACTTCTCAAGTTGCAGCGGGGAGGTCTAGGTTGGATATTAGGAAAAACTATTTCATGGGATGGGTTCCCTGGGGAGGGGTGGATTCTCCATCCCTAGAGGTTTTTAAGTCCTGGCTGGGATGATTGAATTGGGGCTGGTCCTCCTTTGGGCAGGGGGTCAGACTTGGTGCCTCCTGAGGTCTCTGCCCGTCCTGGGATTCTAGGATTCTTAATCTAACCCTGGAAGATCAATTGCCAGAGAGCTGATCCTCCTGTAAGCTGAGCCGGGGCCTCAACAGCACCCATGTTTCTACAATTAAAGGGGCACGGTGGGCACAGCGGAAAACTAAAACAATCCAATTTCTCCTGGTCATGGATTTTTTTAAACTAACTTTTCATTTTTGCTATTTTTACCCGACAGAATGTGTTGACTACAATGATAATTAGCCATTGTGTGCCACTTTACTTCTTCCAAGTGCTGTATCCATGTTAACTAATTAACTCTCCCATCTGAGGGTTAATAGTCTCCGTCATACAGAAGGAAGGTTAGCCCTGTTTACAGCAGGAAGCTCTTGTCAGTTTTTAAACTAACTTTTCATTTTTGCTATTTTTACCCGACAGAATGTGTTGACTACAATGATAATTAGCCATTGTGTGCCACTTTACTTCTTCCAAGTGCTGTATCCATGTTAACTAATTAACTCTCCCATCTGAGGGTTAATAGTCTCCGTCATACAGAAGGAAGGTTAGCCCTGTTTACAGCAGGAAGCTCTTGTCAGGACGTGAAACCCACCACAGGGGCAATCCACTGGTCTGAGGCAGCGGCCGCCAGCAATGGGCCTTTCCTCGCCACTCCGAGGTCGGACAGTGAATTAGAGGAAGAGGCAGGAGTGGAACCCAGAGTCCTGGTACCCAGCAGGAGCGCTAAGCCCCAGAGCCTGGTGTCCAACCAGTTCTGAAGCCGTAGCCCCTATAGTGGCTACTGTCTTAGTGAACAAGCCACACTCAACCGGCCAAACAGCCCACGTGGCTAGTGGCTGGCATGCTGGACACCACGGCCCTAGGCAGTATTTCCACTCTGCATAAGGCCCTGTCTCATCCGGCCCAGCTCTGACAGCACCTGCTGGTTACTGAATGGAGCTGAGCCAGCCCAGGAGCACAAACCACCCTCTTTCAGGAAGAACAGGCAGGGGAGAAAAGGAGGAGGAGTTGTACTATATGTAAGAGAGCACTACGATTGTTCTGAACTCCAGTATAAAGAGGGAGAAAAACCTGTTGAGAGTCTATGGGTTAAGTTTAAAGGAGCAAACAACAGCATTGATGTTGTGGTTGGTGTTTGCTACAGGCCACCGAATCAGTTGGATGAGGTAGATGAGGCTTTCTTCGGACAACTGAGCGAAGCTTCACAAACAGGGAGGAGCTAATAGGGGAAGTGGAGGTGGGTGACAACCTGGGAAGCAGTGATCATGAGATGGTAGATTTCAGGATCCTGACCAAAGGAAGAAAAGAGAGTAGTAAAATACACACCTTGGACTTCAAAAAAGCAGATTTTGACTCCCTCAGAGATCTGATGGAAAGAATCCCCTGGGATGTTAACATGAAGGGGAAAGGAGTCCAGGACAGCTGGCAGTATTTTAAAGAAGCCTTATTGAAGGCACAGAAAGAAACCATCCCGATGCGTAGCAAGAGAGGCAAACATGGTAGGATACCGGACTGGCTTACAGGGGAAATCCTTGGTGAACTTAAGCACAAAAAGGAAGCTTACAAAGAGTGGAAACTTGGACAAATGACCAGGGAGGAGTTTAAAGGTATAGCTCGAGAACGCCGGGGGGTTATCAGGAAGGCGAAAGCACAAATGGAATTGCGACTGGCTAAGGATGTGAAGGATAACAAGAAAGGTTTCTACAGGCA